GAGCTGCACAATGGGCTATTGGCGACGGTCTGGGAAACATCCCTGAGGATGATCCGAAGACATGCCATCACAATTTTGATCCTCTGCAGAGGGGATGGCACCCCCGCTTCGGTAGCCCGACGACCCTATTTAATATATATATTACAACTTAGAAATATGTGAATTGTTAAAGAATTCTCTTTCTAAATGATTTTTTTCAATCCTGAATTGATGATTTTGAATTCTCATAGTATCTTTTTACATTGGCATTCTCTTACATTAATCGATTTTTAAAATAAGCAATGGAAAAAAGTAAGCAATTGTTTATTTCACACTTTTTTTTTGTTGACTTGCCACATAGCGAGTATTTATTTTCAGGTCTAATAAAAGGGGTTAAAGAGTTTTGCAGTTTGAATTTTTATTTTTTTTTTATAAAGACATACGATAGTTTGCTTGAGAGTGTTTATGAGTTACCTTCCCACTGTTTTACTTTTTGCTTTTCGTGTGGCTCTACCAAGATTTTTTGATGCAAGTATCGATACCGCAATTTACTCATTGAATTTCATTGTAAAGGATATTACAATTTTTTAAAAACATTTTCAAATTAAATAATTTAAGTTTAAAATAAATATTCATTGTTTTATAATTTTAAATTTGGATTCTCCATTGTAAATTTAATTTTCTTTTACAATTACAGATATAGCTCTTCATCTTTAGGAAAATCTACTATGAGGAAATTGATTTCAAAAGAAACCTCTTCTCAGAGCCGATTCAATATTTGAGAAGAATTGGATACTGCACACACTATAATGGACAGCTGGTAGTTCTAAGTTTGATCCTTACAGTGAATGATGCAACCAGTGTGGATATTCAGCAAGGACCGCTATAAATCTGCCATAGCGAAAAGTCCTCATGTGACTTTTCCTACACACATTATTATATTTATTTCATATACACATGAACATTTCATGAAAGCTTTTAATTACTGCTTAGAAATATAATTTCAAGTAAATAAAGACTTACAATTGGATGAATAAACTCAAACTGTATCAGATATTTCTAAAGTCATGAAAAAAAAGTTATTTTATTTAATAACAATTATGTACTTTTAATTTGTGTTTTATGAAAAGGTTATTGACGTTAATTTTAAACAATGAAGGTAATGTATTGCATTTACAATTGGATGAAGTTTATTTTATAGTGAGTTTTGCTTTTCAATAAAATTATTATGCTGTGAAATAATTATGTTTATCTTAGATTTTTTTCTTCATTACTGTAGTGTGTAATTTTTTCTACGACTTAGTAATAAATCTTCATCATTTTAAAATTTTGATTTGTATTGTATGATATTTGTATTGATAAAATGTAACGTTAACAAATCTTTATGAGTGCTTAAGTGTCATGAAAACAGCTGAATATATTTAAATTTTGGTTATTTTAATCGGACGGCATGATAAGGGAAGCAATTTTTTTTAACGCTGATTTTAAAGTTTATCTCAAAATTGTAAGCATTTATATTATTTTAATTTCAAAAATTTTCTCCTGATTATTCAATTGAAATGTTAGATATAAAATTTGCTTTTTTATTTTTATCATGTTTAGAATATAATTGTCAAATAATTCTAATTGTAAACATTTCTTTGACTTTAAGCTTAATAACATTTAAACGTAGAAAATTTTCACATGACTATTCATTTGAGACAAAAAGTTTGCTTTTTTATTTTTATCACGTTTAAAATAATATAATTGTAAAAAATTTCTTTGACTTTAAGCTGAATAATATTTACATTTTAATGAAAATTCCAAATCAATGTAGAAAAGAATAATGCTTAAACTTTCACCTGAAAGGTTTGTATATTCTTTGTGAAAGGTTTGTATATTCTTTGTAAATATTAATATTTAAAATTTAGCTGAACATTAATAGCTGCATTATTTTAGCTGTAAATTTTTTGCAAAGATTGTTAGTTTAATAGAACATAACACCTTTAAATAATTATCGAATTTATGAAAATTTCTGATGTGCCCATAAAAGTTATTTTAACATTATAAAAAAAATATTAGCAATTTTCATGATATTAGTTGCTTTCCTGATTTCATTCCCTGGAAAAATTTCTAACTTGCGTTTGAGTTTCGTTTTTAGGTGTTTTGCTAAATAAAATTTCAAATACTAAAAGAATAAAGTTATGTAAGTATTTCTCCGTTTAATTTCAGTGGAAGAAAAAATGTGTAAATCTATTGAAGTAAGTAATTTGAATATATTTAAATTATGTTCCTTATTGTGTCAATTATTGCAAAAAATGACAACTTAAAAATTGAACAATTTTATTTTGGAATTATAAGGAGGGGGGAGGAGTGTTAAGTTAAAATTTCCACTTAGTTCAAATGTAAATATATAACTTTATATTTATATAGTGTGGTTTTTATTATATAATTTCAGAATATAAATAATGACTGATAATTGCGAAATTACAAATGGCTTAAGTCACACATTTAAAATATATATATATATTATGAACTAACAAATTAAATTGAGATTTTGATAAAATAAGCCCAATTTTTTAAAAAAAATTAAGAGTACATTTTTAAATTGAAGACTTAAAAATTATTAATCATATAAAATTTGTCAGAAAACCCATTGTATGAATAAAAGAAAAAAATATCAATAAAAGTTGCAATAAAATATTATTTCCTAATTAAGTTTGAAATATTCAAAAAAATCAGCTGAACATAAGATATACTTTGGAGTAAGGAGGAGAAAAATGGAAGGTAGCAGAATTCGCTAATATAATTTTATTTAGTATTTCTGTATTGCTAAGTAAATAATGCATGGAATGACATAAA